TCAGCGAAATTGCCATGGAAACACAAGTTAAACTTATTCCCTTTTTCGTCTTTTCCTTTTTATGCTCATCATGCCGTCTTGTTTTTATCCATGTCGCTTACGAGTAGTCCTATGCGCATGCTCAGCTGTATTTTCGAGCGTGTGCACGCATGCGTGACAATGCTTGTTGCTATTGCGCATGAGCACGCCTGCAGATAAGAATATTATTAATAAAAATAATAATACACGTCTTTTTTAATATAAAAGAACTGATTCGTAATTTATCCTGGAAACGTAATATAGAAAGAAGATAAGATTCTAATTTTTCCAAAAATTCTTCGGATATTTTGCCACAAGCAAGTTAAGTGCGTAGCACAATGTAAATAATAATAATAATAATAATGTTGATGACTATGATAAAATAACGATATTTATAAAAGAACGCCCAGTTTGAAATACATTGAATTTAATCAACGGTAGTTGAATTAAATTTAGATGCGTGCGCAGAATCGCCTTTATTTTAAATAAAATTTGTCATCGGGGACTTGGATAATGACGTTAGGTCATTTGGAATCTTCTTGCATCTTGTGGTAAAAAAAAGTCAATAATTATAGCTAACTCTGACCAAGATTCTAGCTATATTTGCCTCTAGATCAATCTATTTCCAAATGGTGTACCGCGGCACACTGGTGTGCCCTGAAAGTGTCGAAATTGTGCTGCGAAAAATTTTAAAGGTCTTTAATTAAATCCTTTTTGAATGATGTACAAGTCACAACAAATGTGCGAAGCAAGCTCTTCCGCAATAAAAAATTGTTGTGTCGGAAACCTACCACCCCTCTTGAAGATGAACTTGTCTGCGAACAAAGACTTTAAATAGTGGCATTTCAGTTGACATGGGGAAGATAGATAGACAGAGAAGTTCTTAGCTGAGCTAGTTATTGACTACTCAGACGATTTCTGTACCTATTTACCAATCTATTAAAACCCTTTTTATTGTTACGTGTTATTTGGCGTTTGTCTCTACTAACCCCAAATCAACATCATAACAAAAATATTAAAAATAAATATGAATCACGGCTAGAATCATTGGAAGAATATTTAAGAGTTTGCACCTCCTTGCAGAAAAAATATCAAACTCAGATATCTCATTAAATGTTAAAATATAATAAACAGGAAAAATAAATAAATATTAGTCTTTCGTAAGAATTTTAATATTATCTTTTTATTACAATGTAGCGAAAAAGTCCTTGTCATTTTTTATTTATTAAAAAAGGTATACAGCAAATTTAACATAGCGTTAGTCCTCAAAGTAAGCCTCATTAGCATCCAGAACATTTTTCCAACTTGCCCCCCTCCCCAGTAGCGCCATGCCATGACGGTAAGAATCAGGTGTCTTAGACGTATAGAAGTCTGTGAGTGCCTGACGCAAGACTGCCTCATTTGCGAAAGAATTTCCAACGAAAGTGGTTGTCCAGGAAAGGGAAGAGGTGATAATCTGTTCGAATAAGATCCGGAGAGTAATGTGGAAAGTACCGTGCCCCCAACCAAGTCGCCGTATGATATCCCTGGCTACCCGTGCCACATAATGCCTTTCACTGACATAGAGGAACAGGACACCCTTGCGATTAACCAATGCTGGCTCATTCTGCTTCAGTACTGTTGCATAAGCCCCAACTGCTGCGAATATTGATTGCAGTGATGATTTGACCTGGAGGTAGCAGCTCATAGTGCAGTACTTGTTGGCTAGTCCACTAGATACATCGTATAATCTTGCATGGGTGTAGGTGGTCTTGTAGTGTGAGTCACAGGGTTCCATGGTGGTAACCACTGTCTGGCAGGCTTGGGAGTCTCATACAGGAGCCGCTTTTTCAGAACACGATCAAATATGGGAACGTTGCGAGAAAGCAACGAGAAACTGGCCGACATTTGTTGTTGCTTGTTGGCTACCGACAATGTGTGGGGGTAGCCGCTAGCTCAACTTGAACCTCTTCCCTGTGCAGTGCTGGTGAAGTTTGACTGTTTCGTCAGAAACCTGGAAGCGTTCGGCAAGCTCACCGCAGGTTTGGCTAATGTCTTCCACCATAGCCACCTTCAGGGCCCCACCATCCAGGTCCTGTGGCCGCCCACTGCGGGTTTAACCACAAAAGGATAGATCTGCAGACTTGAACTTCTGAAACCAATGTCTGACGGTGGCGGCGGCACTGCATTATCTGACAACTTGATGCGTCTGTGGGAATACCAGGAGAAACCTCTATCCTCTCCATGGATCACACCAACATGTTCGCTCAATATAGCACACAGGGGGCCAGTATTTTCGGCTCTCATCTCAATAGACGCCTATTCGTGGCTGCGCGCTATAAATGAAAGCGAGTCAACGAAGGAGCAAAGTCCCAGTTTGTCAAAAGAATGAAGCACGGTATAGTCTCTAACAACTTTCACCCTCGTGTTTACTAGCGTTTCTGTAATGAGTTATTAAATAAGTATAAGGTCTAAATTCCTTCCCTCTTCAATCAATACGAGGTGTTATCACCCTCTGCTGATAAAGCCGAATGTTTTGCCTGTAAAGTCTTCTCAAATTCTAATATTGACACGTCCGGGATATCCCTGCGTAACTTCCCCACTAGATCTGAATTTCTGTTGAGTGATATGCATATAACCCCTTCCATGTTTTTTGCTATCATCTGTAGCATGTGAACCTGATGGTATCCCTGTAATAGTCATTAAGAAGTATGTTCCCTAACTGACTCAGGTTTTCTCTAAACTGTATAATAAATGCCTTCCTACCTCCTGCTTTCTTGCCCGCTGGAAGTCATCATCTGTTGTTCCAGGTTTTAAAAAATCTGATAAATCCTCCGACCTTGCCAACTATCGGCCTATTAACCTTCCACCTCGTTTTGAGAAAACTCCTAGAGGCCCCAATCAATGCTAAAAGGTTCATCATCTCTCATCGCAGGGCTTTTTCTCAGACAAGCAATATGGCTTTCATTTCTCCAGGTCAACTGCTGATGTACTGACGATATTTGTGGAAAGAGTTAGTCTTACTGTAAGTAAAAACGTTGAATCCCGGACTGTTACATTAGACATCTCGAAGGCCTTTGACTGGGTCGAGCATTCAGGTTTTTATCACAAGCTGAAAAGTTAGGTGTCTCCAGACACTTGTTTTGAAGTGATCCATTTTTTTCCTATCAAATCGTGAAGTGAGAGTTATCCTGAACGGCCACTCATCTAGATCCTTTCGTACTAACGAGGGTGTACCCTAGGGACCAATCTTGAGTCCTACGTTTTTTAATTTTCATTAATGATCTTCCTGACATCAGCTCTCAAATTGACATCTACGCCGACAACAATTTACTCCTGCCTCGTTTTCCGGGTTTTTTTTAAACATTTTTCTCTCTTAATAATGTTTTTTAATTTTATATTCTCTCGCGGTCAGTAACCTCTTGCGTCTTAGTAGCTATATAGCTATGCCTGGTGTGAAAGGATCTTTTAAAATGGTAATAAAAGCTTTAGAAAGTTTGATGTTTTGGTTTTTTATCAATTTGCAGTGTTGTGTGAAAGCACACACGGTGCAGCCTATTCCGGGATCCATTCCCTTATCTCTTATACTAAACTTCTAATAACTGATCCAAATATCGAATTATTTGAAGTCTTTAGCATTTAACGAATTCCACATCCTGAATTTTTATAATGGATTCAGGGTAGGTGCCATCACTTTTTTTTGTTCCAATTTCGAGATTATTGTTTCTGTTTTTCTAAAGAGTTGATTCTTATTTCTTGCAATATTTGGTAAAAGATGTTGATTTTTTTGTTCAAGATCATTTGTCTCCCAGCTATAAAAAATATGTCATTGATACACCGGCACCTCATCACCATTGAAACATTGATGGGGAAACACTGCTTTCCCTTGTTATACAGGAATCCCTCGATTAATGCGGCCAATGTGTCCATTAATAGATACACACTAATCATAAACGCATTAATCGGATATAATAACTTATAGGAAGTGATGTAATTTGTACCTCAAATTTTAGTCTCATTCACAATTATTGAATCAATACCTGAAACTACCGCAAAGAAAGTCTTGTGTCGAAAACCTACCACCCCTCTTGAAGATGAACTTGTCGGCGTCTGTAAACAAAGACTTTAAATAGTAGCATGTCAGTCGACATGAAGACAGATAGACAGAGAAGTTCTTAGCTGAGCTAGTTATTGACTACTCAGGCGATTTCTGTACCTTTTCACCAACCTATTAAAACCCTTTTTTATTGTTACGTGTTATTTGGCGTTTGTCTCTACTAACCCCAAATCAACATCATAACAGAAAGTTTGCTCTCTGTGTTGCGCCAGACAGAAAGTTTTTTCTCGTCTGTGTCCAGCCTTCAAATCTACCATTCGTCCATGCATGGAATCTTGTTGCCATATATGGTCTGGTAACCCCGCTGTTTATCTCGAGGTTCTCGGCAAAATCCAAAGACGGATATGCCATGTGATCGTCTCTGACTTGGGGTCTCGACTCTAGTAACTTTCTCATCGACGTAATCTAGCTTCCGTCTGTCTTTTCTACAAATATTTTCATGGCATTTGCTCTGAAGAGCTATTTTCACTGGCGTCTCGACTGAATGAATTTAAGCGTGCTACTAGGTTGGCATCTCGGTTCTAACCTTTTACCGTTGAAACAGTTAAATGTAACTGCCACTTCTACTCCAACAGCTTCTTCTCTCGCACTTCCCGACAATGGAACTCCCCTCCTCTTACTTGCTTCCTTGATAATTATAATCTTCAAAAATTTAAACGTAATGTCAATCGACATCTTCTGTTGCTTTGATCCCCGTTTTTCATTTTATCCTCTCCTGTTCTTCATTTTATCCCCCATTCCTCATTTTATCCCCCCCGTTCTTCATTTGATCCCCCCGTTCTTCATTTTATCCTCCCCGCCGTTCTTAATTTTATCCCCCCGTTCTTTATTTTATCCCCCCGTTCTGCATTTTATCCCTCCCCCGTTCTTCATTTTACCACCCCAGTTCTTCATTTTATCCCCCCGTTCTTTTTATTTTATTTTATCCCCGTTCTTCATTTACCCCGCGTTCTCCATTTTATCCCCCACCGTTCTTCATTTTATCCCCCGTTCTTCATTTGATCCCCCCGTTCTTCATTTTATCCCCCGTTCTTCATTTGATCCCCCGTTCTCCATTTTATCCCCCCACCGTTCTTCATTTTATCCCACCCCGTTTTTCATTTTATCCCCCGTTCTCATTTTATCCCCGTTCTTCATTTTATCCCCCCCGTTCTTCATTTTATCCTCCCGCCGTTCTTCATTTTATCCCCCGTTCTCATTTTATCCCCCCGTTCTTCATTTTATCCCCCGTTCTTCATTTTATCCTCCCCGTTCTTCATTTTATCCCCCTTCTTCATTTACCCCGCGTTCTCCATTTTATCCACCACCGTTCTTCATTTTATCCCCCGTTCTTCATTTTATCCCCATTTTATCCCCCGTTCTTCATTTTATCCCCCGTTCTTCATTTTAACCCTCCCCGTTCTTCATTTTATCCCCGTTCTTCATTTTATCCCCCTCCTGTTCTTCATTTTATCCCTCACCCGTTCTTTATTTTATCCCCTTCTTCATTTACCCCCGTTCTTCATTTTATCCCCCCCCGTTCTTCATTTTATCCCTCCCCGTTCTTCATTTTATCCCCCTGTTCTTCATTTTATCCCCCGTTCATCCCTCCCCCCGTTCTTCATTTTATCCTTTTCTCAACACCCCACCCACTGTACACATTTTTTTTCCCTTACTTACACTCTCCGTAGCCCCTTTGCGTACCAGTCGCCCTCCCACCTTGTTTGGTATGAAATGCTTTAAAAAAAAAAGAATTAATGTTAACTTGCATTATTTACATTATTCGTACTGTTATCCTCATATTCATTGACATATTCACAACGTTTCGGCCGTTGTACGCTCCGGCCTTCTTCAGGTGATTGGAATTTCGAACCCAACCCTTTATTTCGTCCAACGGAGTAGATTGTTCTAGTTCCACGTGCCATGCCTCTTCCGGATGTCTCAGTTATTTCCCTTTAACTCAACTCCCCAAATTTTGGTTCACTGCGCCTAGAGAAAAGCAATGAATAACAACAAAAAAGTAATATAAGGCCTGGTAAAAATGAAATAATAATAACAAAAATTGCAATATGAGCACTGGTGAAAAAAAATGAAGGCTAAGACATTAGGTTTATAAGTCCAAAAAAATCTTACACAGATGTCCTAAAGAAGACATGGCCGAGTGGATAAAGACGTCGGTTAGATCCAATGAGTAGACCCAAAGTTCAATACTAGGCTACAGTAGTGGTGAACTAAAACATGAATAGATCAGTTAAAGGGAAAATTCCAATCACCTGAACAGGACTGGAGAGTACAACGGCCGAAACGTTATGACAATGAAGATGAGGAGAACAGTCCGAATAATGTAAATAATTAATTCTTTAATAACTGAGACATCGTGGCACTGGCACTTGGAACTAGAACAATCTACCCCAGTTGGAAATTCCAATCACCTTCGGAGCGTACAAAGCCGAAACGTTGTGAAACAGTTCGAATAATGCAAGTAATCATATATAGACAGATATTGAAGAATTAATGTCTGTTTTTTAAAAAATTATTTAGAGTGGTTTACTATGGTTTAGAGTGGTACTGAGAAATTGTCATTCAAATTTTCCAAACATCTCATAATCATTAATATTTTAACCTGAAAATTGTACAGTGTAACCCGGATATAAGAGAAATCCGGATATAAGAGAGATTTTCTCTGGTCCCAAAAGTGTTCCCATACTTACCTAAGCAAAATAGACCAAACCCGGATATAAGAGACTTCTTCTCCGGCCCCAACAACTCTCTTATATCCGGGTTACACTGTATTTATAATCTTTCTATAGTAAATGCATTCATCTTTCATATTTCGATATTTTTTAATGTAAATTTCTGAATCTAATTAAATCATCAAATTTTTTTAACAAAAAATCAGAAATTTCCTTTTAAGACCTTAAAAATAAAAATGAAAAAAAAAAGATCAAGGGTATTCAAAAGATTTTCATAGAGACAAATTTTCAAATGTGTATTTTTATTATCGGCTTTTAAATTTTAGAGAATTTTTAATTAATAGGACACTTTAAAAGAAATCAATTTTCGATTACTATGGTTAAACTGAAGAAAATTTTACCGCAGTAATCGTGTAATATGTATACAATAATCGAATTTTGGTATATCAAAATTTTAACCTACTAATCCAAAAGCATTAATCAAATGTGCATTAATCGAGAAATTCTGGTATAATGCTTTGCGTTTTTTTTTAATCATTTTACCACAAACAAGGCAATAAAGCCACTAAGAAGCAATTAGTTACTGAGTGTTAGAAAATATACGAAAAAAAAAATTATTAATTTTTCTTGTTGTCTTCTATCACCCTGTCCAGGAAGTCGTTTAGTTTCCTTTTCGAGAAGGTCACATTTTGTTCCACTAATAGAAGATATTTTTTTTTTATAACAGACGAGGATTAATTTTGATTTTTTTTTATTGATAATATACAAGTAAAAGACTAAAATACAATATATGCTAACACGTCGTGTTTAAAAACAATTAATTCCTGTCTGGTGTCAAAGATAGGTCTTAAAATAGGATAAATAAAAGGTTAAGAAATATCTTGTACAAAAAAAAGTCAACAGTCTATACCAAGTTTTATTTTTTTAATCATTTTACCCCAGACAAGGCAATAAAGCCACTAAGACGAAAGAGAAAATACGAGAAACCATTATTAAGTAGAGCGAATAATGAAAGAATAGGAGTTACCTTTTTTAATCATTTCACCCCAAGCAAGGCAATAAAGCCACTAAGACACAGGGGGGGGGGTTACTGAGTGTGAGAGAATATGAGAAAAAGAAAGCATTATTAAGGAGAGATAACAATAAGATAACAGGAATGTCTTTTTTTTTATTATTTCACCCCAAGTAAGGCAATAAAGCCACTAAGACGCGAGGCGTTACTGAGTGTGAGAGAATAAGAGAAATAGAAAACATTATAAAGGAGAGAGAACAATAAAAGGACAGGAATTCGAAAGACAGAAGATAACGATTGACATAGCATTTAAATTTCTGAAGATCAAAGATCAACGCAAGTAGCCAGAAGAAAGTTCCACACGCGAGAAGTGCGAGAGAAGAAACTGTTAGCATAGAACTTACGGTAACATCTGGCAATTTCAACTGTAAAACGATGTGACCTTGCCGCCAATCTAGCGATGCGCTTAAGTCCATAACACCCAGCTATCATAGATCAAAGTTCGTCAAAACATTTACCATAAAGTATTTATGTGTGTTTGGGATTTAATATTAAATACTTAATACTTTTAATATCAAAATACACGCACACACAAAGATTTATTTTATTCTGACCCAAGTAACCTATCTATCGAAGGCGAAACGCTAGGTTTATAAAACAGCTTCCCACTTTGTCTGATTTATCATATATATATATATATATATATATATATATATATATATATATATATATATATATATATATATCAATTTATCAATATATATATATATATATATATATATATAATCAATCAGAAAAAGTGGGAAGCTGTTTATAAACCTAGCGTTTCGCCTTCTTATATATATATATATATATATATATATATATATATATATATATGTATGTATGTATGTATCTTGTGTATACGTGTGTGTATCCGTGAAAGGAATATAACTTGTTGACAATGTTTGATGAACAATGTATTTTAGGCCCAATATCTCCCTTCACCGACTGCCACTGAATACAAAAAAATATCCCGGCCGCTTCATTATGGGCCGTGTTAACTGTGATATCTGCTCGAGGTTATATGTTGCAAGTATTGACTACACACGCTGAAGTGTTTGTTAGATTTTTTTCCTGGTCCTTCATTCACTATTCAGTTATTCAGGCTTTTCTTCCCCGATCATTTTTTCTTCACCGTTATTACGATTATGAGGTTTGTAGTAGTAGTAGTGGTAGTAGTAGTAGTGATAGCTGTTGATATTCTTTTTGTTAACAGTTTTATTTTCACTCAACGACCATTTTGTCTTTTTATAGTTTCTAATTGAAATATTTCTTTTATTTTCACATAGCTCTTCCTCCTCCTCTTCTTTTTCTTCTCTCTTTTATTCGTCTTCTTATTTTCTTCTTTTTCCATTACTTCTTCTCCATCTTACTCTTCTCTTTCTCCTTTCCTCCAACTTACACTCCTTTTATTCTCTCTTTTTCTTCTCTTCGCTCTCTCTCTCTCTCTTACTCTACTTTTTGTTTCTCTTTTTGTTTCGTCCTTCTTCTCTTTACTCTTCTTTTTCTTTCTCTATTTCCTTTCTTTCTTTTCCACCTTACTCTTCTTTTTCTTTCTCTATTTTCTTTTCTTCTTTTCCACCTTACTCTTCTTTTTCTTTCTCTATTTTCTTTTCTTCTTTTCCACCTTACTCTTCATTTTCTTTCCTTCTTCTCCGCCTTACTCTTCTTTTTCTTTCCTTCTTCTCCACTTTACTCTTCTTTTTCTTTCCTTCTTCTCCACCTTACTCTTCTTTTTCTTTCTCTATTTTTTTCCTTCTTTTCCACCTTACTCTTCTTTTTCTTTCCTTCTTCTCCACCTTACTCTTATTTTCTTTCTTTTTTTTCCTTCTTTTCCACCTTACTCTTCTTTTTCTTTCCTTCTTCTCCACCTTACTCTTCTTTTTCTTTCTCTATTTTCTTTCCTTCTTTTCCACCTTACTCTTCTTTTTCTTTCCTTCTTCTCCACCTTACTCTTCTTTTTCTTTCTCTATTTTCTTTCCTTCTTTTCCACCTTACTCTTCTTTTTCTTTCCTTCTTCTCCACCTTACTCTTCTTTTTCTTTCTCTATTTTCTTTCCTTCTTTTCCACCTTACTCTTCTTTTTTTTCTCTTTTTCTTTCCTTCTACTCCAGCTTATTCTTCTTTTTCTTTACTTCTTCTCCTCCTTACTCTTCACTTTCTTTCTTTTTTTCCTTCTTCTCCACCTTATGCTTATTTTTCTTCCTTTCTTTCTTTTTCTTCTCCATCTTTTTCTTCTTTTTTTCTTTTCTTCTCCTGCATCTTACTCTTCTATTTCTTTCTCTTTTTCTTTCTTCCTTCTTTACTTTAATCGTTTTTTCTTTCTCTTTTTCTTTCATTCTTCTTCACCTTACTCTTCTTTTTCTTTCATTCTTCTTCACCTTACTCTTCTTTTTCTTTCTCTATCTTCTTCTCTAACTTACACTTCTTCTTTTTTCTTTCCTTCTTTTTCACCTTACTCTTCTTTTCTCTTTTTTCTTCTCCACTTTCTTTTTTTTTCTTTTTCTTTCCTTCTTTTTCACTTTACACTTCTTTTTCTTTCTCTTTTTCTTTCTTTCTTTTCCACCTTACTCTTCTTTTTCTTGCTCTTTCTTTCTTTTCCACCTTACTCTTCTTTTTCTTTCTCTTTCCTACTTCTCCACCTTACTGTTCTTTATCTTTCTCTTTTTCTTTCCTTCTTTTCCACCTTACTCTTCTTTTTCTTTCTCTTTCCTTCTTTTCTGTCTTACTCTTCTTTCTCTTTTTCTTTCCTTCTTTTCCACATTAATCTTACTCTTCTTTTTCTTTCTCTTTCCTTCTTCTCCACCATACACTTCTTTTTCTTTCTATTTTTCTTTCCTTCTTTTCCACCTTAATCTTCTTTTCTTTTTTTTCTTTTCCATTAATCTTTTTTCTTTCTCTTTCCTACTTCTCCACCTTACTCTTCTTTTTCTTTGTCTTTCCTTCTTTTCCACCTTACTCTTCCTTTTCTTTCTCTTTTTCTTTCTTTCTTCTCCACCTTACACTTTTTTTTCTCTTTTTCTTTTCTTCTTTTCTTCTTCTTTTTCTTTCTCTTTCCTTCTTTTCTTCTTAATCTTTTTTCTTTCTCTTTCTTCTTCTCCACCATACACTTCTTTTTCTTTCTATTTTTCTTTCCTTCTTTTCCACCTTAATCTTCTTTTTCTTTCTCTTTTCTTCTTTTCCACATTAATCTTCTTTTTCTTTCTCTTTCCTACTTCTCCACCTTACTCTTCTTTTTCTTTGTCTTTCCTTCTTTTCCACCTTACTCTTCCTTTTCTTTCTCTTTTTCTTTCTTTCTTCTCCACCTTACACTTTTTTTTCTCTTTTTCTTTTCTTCTTTTTCACCTTACTCTTCTTTTCTTTCTCTTTCCTTCTCCTCCACCTTACTGTTCTTTTTCTTTCACTTTTTCTATCCTTCTTCTCCACCTTACTCTACTTTTTCTTTCTCTTTCCTTCTTCTCCACCTTACTCTTCCTTTTCTTTCTCTTTTTCTTTCTTTCTTCTCCACCTTACTCTTTTTTTATTCTCTTTCCTTCTTCTCCACCTTACTCTTCTTTGTCTTTCTCTTTTTCTTTCCTTCTTTTCCACCTTACTCTTCTTTTTCTTTCTCTTTCCATCTTCTCCACCTTACTCTTCTTTTTCTTTCTCTTTCCATATTCTCCACCTTACTCTTCTTTTTCTTTCTCTTTCCTCCTTCTCCACCTTACAGTTCTTTTTCTTTTCTTTTCCATTTCTCCCCTTACTCTTCTTTTCTTTTCTTTCTTCTTTTTTTCTTCTTCCTTTTTCTCATTTTTCTTTCCTTCTTTTTTTCTTTTCTTTCTCCTTTTTTTCTTCTTCTCCACCTTACACTTCTTTTCTTTTCTTTTTTTCCTTTTCTCCACCTTACTCTTATTTTCTTTCTTTTTTTTCCTTCTTCTCCACCTTACACTTCTTTTTCTTTCTCTTTTTCTTTCCCTTCTTCTCATCTTTTTTCTTTCTCTTTTCTTTCTTCTTTTTCCTTACTTTTTTCTTTTTTCTTCTCCACCTTTTTTTTCTTTTCTCTTTTCCTTCTTTTCCACCTTTCTTCTTTTTTTCTTTTTTCTTTCTTCTTTTCTTTTTTTCTTTACTTCTCCTTTCCTTTTTTCTTTCTTTTTTTTCCTTCTTCTTTTATGCTTATTTTCTTCCTTTCTTTCTTTTTTCTTCTCCATCTTTTTTCTTTCTTACTCTTCTATTTCTTTCTCTTTTTCTTTCTTCCTTCTTTACTTTAATCGTTTTTCTTTTCTTTTCTTTTCTTCTTCTTCACCTTACTCTTCTTTTTCTTTCATTCTTCTTCACCTTACTCTTCTTTTTCTTTCTCTATCTTCTTCTCTAACTTACACTTCTTTTTCTTTCCTTCTTTTTCACCTTACTCTTCTTTTTCTTTCTCTTTCCTTCTTCTCCACCTTACAGTTCTTTTTTCTTTTTCTTTCCTTCTTTTTCACTTTACACTTTTCTCTTTTTCTTCTTTCTCCACCTCTTCTTTTTCTTGCTCTTTCTTTCTTTCCACTCTTCTTTTCTTTCTCTTTTTTTCTCTTTTTACCATCTTTCTTTTTCTTTCCTTCTTTTCCACCTTACTCTTCTTTTTCTTTCTCTTTCCTTCTTTTCTGTCTTACTCTTCTTTCTTTTTTCACCACATTAATCTTACTCTTCTTTTTCTTTCTCTTTCCTTCTTCTCCACCATACACTTCTTTTTCTTTCTATTTTTCTTTCCTTCTTTTCCACCTTAATCTTCTTTTTCTTTCTCTTTTTTCTTAATCTTCTTTCTTTTCTCTTTCCTTCTCCACCTTTTACTTTCTTTTTTTGTCTTTTCTTTTTCTCTTTTTTCTTTTCTCTTTTTTTTTTTCTTCTCCACCTTACCACTTTTTCTCTTTTTCTTTCTTCTTTTCCACTCTTCTTTTCTTTCTTTTTTTCTGTCTTCTCTTCTTTCTCTTTTTTTTCCTTCTTTTCCACATTAATCTTACTCTTCTTTTCTTTCTCTTTCCACCATACCTTCTATTTTTCTTTCCTTCTTTTCCACCTTAATCTTCTTTTTTTTCTTTTTTTCTTTTCCATTAATCTTTTTCTTTTCTCTTTTCCTACTTCTCCACCTTACTTTTCTTTTTCTTTGTTTTTTTCCTTTTCTTTTTTTTTCTTTCTTCTTCTCCACCTTACACTTTTTTTTCTTTTTCTTTTCTTTTTTTCTTTCTTTTTTTTTCCTTCTTCTCCTCCACCTTACTGTTCTTTTTTTTTTCCTTTTTATCTTCTTTTTTTTTTTTCCTTCTTTTCCACCTTTTCTTCCTTTTCTTTCTTTCTTTTCTTTTTTTTTATTTCCTTCTTCTCCACCTTTTACTCTTTTTTTTTTTTTTTCTTTCCTTTTTTCTTTCCTTTTTTTCTTTCTCCTTCTCCACCTTTACTTCTTTTTTTTTTCTTTTTTTCTTTTTTTCTTTCCTTTTCCATTTCTCCACCTTACTCTTTCTTTTTTTTTCTTTTTCTTTTTTCTTCCTTCTTTTCACCTTACTCTTTTTTTCTTTCTCATTTTTTTTTCTTTTTCCACCTTTTTCTTTTTTTTTTTTCCACCTTTTCTCCACCTTTCTTTTTCTTTTTTTTTTTTTTCTCCACCTATTTATTTTCTTTCTTTTTCCTTCTTCTTTTTCTTTCTTTTCTTTCCTTCTTCTCCATTTACTCTTCTTTTCTTTTTTTTCTTCTTTTTTACTTTCTTTTCTTTTCACTTTTTCTTCACTTCTCCACCTTACTTCTTTTTTTCTTTCTCTTTTTTCCTTCTTCTCCACCTTTTTCTTTTTTTTTCTCTTTCCTTCTTTCCACCTTTCTTTTTTTCTTCACTTTTTCTTTCTTCTTCTCCTTCTTTTTTCTTTCTTTTTTCTTTTTACCTTCTTTCTTTTTCATTCCCTTTTTTTTTTTTTTCCTTCTCAGCCTCCTTTTTTCTTTCCTTCTTCTCCACTTTAGTCTTCTTTTTCTTTCTTTTTTTCTTTCCTTCTTTTCCACCTTACTCTTCTATTTCTTTCTCTTCAAACTTACTCTCCTTTTCCTTTTTTTCTTTTCTTCTTCTCCAGCTTACTCTTCTTTTTCTTTCTTCTTTTTCTTTTTGCTCTCCTCATTTTCACGTTCATTTTTCTCCCAGATTTTTCTAGCTTTCTTTCTTTATTTCATTTCATTCTTTGTTTATTTCATATTTCTCTTTCTCATAACCCCCCCTTTTCTTACCTGTATCTTTCTTGTTTTCGTTCTTTATTTCTTTCTTTCTTACCTTTATATTATTCTTTTTTCTTTCTTTCTTACCTTTGTCTTCAGCGTGTCTTAAGTAGAAGGCATGCAGATTTAAAGATTTAAAGAACATTTCCTTTTAAAAAACTGTCTTGTAAATATTATTGCCCCCAAACCCAGAAGCATTTCACAATCACCGATGAAAACACCAGATTTAATGAGTCACGATAAACAGTTCTACACTCTCAATGTGGCCATTTACTTCGAACGTTTATCACACCAAACCTCAATGCGAACTCATGTAAACGATCCATTCTAAAAATGCTAAACATTAGTCAGCTCCTGGTACCACTTTGGAAAGTATCTGTCTCCTTCTATCTTGCTCTATCTTTACAAAAGTCAAATTAGACCAAAGATTGCGTATTACTGATATTCATGAGCCGCCTAATCCACACTTCCAAGCTTTGATAGATTCACAAATCGTTTCCGTGGCCTTTTGGGTGATGACTAATTTTCAACTCTGCAGCCTCTTCCTTACGGACACAATGATAAGAAGTTTGTCCTTACTCGTTTCGGATTCCCATGGCAATTCTTCAGAGGAGATTCATTCTTTAGTTTCACCAGTTCAGTCTTTTACATCTAAGAACCGCTATGTTACATCCAAACTGATCCACAAAAAGAGTTCAATGTATTTATTATTACAGAGCAAGTATTAATAAACAATAAAATCCCAAATCACCTCATATGGGGAATGAACTTATTTCGACCGACGAAAATATAATTCGTCAGTCTTATTCAACCCCAGAATAGACTGAGTTTGTGTCGGAATTAGAAATTTAACTGTAAAAGCTATTAAAAAAACCGTCGAAAAACTAATACAGAATTTATCCATTTCAATGTTTCAGTCAGACGAAAGGCACGAGGTAGTGGTCAGAGGTGGCTGGAAGGTATCTATCTTAACGGGAAGAGGTTTTATAAAATTAAACCCGGATATTAACCTTGTGACATTTAATTGGCGTTATATGAAGAATGAAATGTTAATTTGAAACTAACTGAGAGAGAGAGAGAGAGAGAGAGAGAGAGAGAGAGAGAGAGCGATAGAAAGAGAATGTTCGAGCATGAAACAGACTGTTGCCGCTCAGTGTTTACCACACTGTTCACTTTTATATTTATATTTACACTAAAAGGAGTAGATAGGTTCGCCTATAGCCCGGTTCACACTCCTCCCTGGTCTTTTGAACAGGAGTAGATGTTCATCTCTTGTTTCCTGTTTCGGATTGTATTTCCGGTTTCTTCTTAAGTCTACTTCAAATCTTTCTCCTAACGCCTCCGATTGAAATCTGAAATTTTATTTCATAATTATGTTTTTCTCTTCTCCGGAAAAGAGTGGATAGGTTAGCCTATCATCCGGTTCACACTCCTCCCCAGTCTTTCGAACAGGAGTAGATGTATATCCCTTGTTTCCTGCTTAGGATGCGGTTTCCGGGTTCTTCCAAAGTCTACTTCAACTCTTTAGTCGTAACGTCCCGCCTAGAACTCTGAAACTCTATTCGCTAATTAAATCTTAGCCTTTTCATTCAAGAATTAACGATATTTCCTGTTACCTTGCACTTTCTTATATTAATACAACTCCATA